AGTTTTCATGTACATTATTGAACTCCATTTATTTCTCGTCTCTCTTTTTGGAGTATCCAGTGTTCTTGTATCCAGAACACTGTTCACAGCTGACCAAATCAGCTTTTCTTAGTCAGTTTCCTGCTCATGTAGATACTTAAGGGTGCTGCAAAAAATGTCTTTACTGTGTGTTAACTTCCTTCTGTAAATTAATTCACCAAGAGAGCAGAAATAGTGAAAATCCATGATAAAGTAAAGAGAAGATGAGGTACTTGGAAATGTGCATTATTGGTACAGTCCAAGAAGTACTATATGTCGCACCGAAGTTATAGGGGCATTTTAGATTGGAAATATTTGGAAAAAAACAAAACACTACCTTGAGGACTAATTCAAATTAAAACAAGATTTAATACTTCTTTTTAGGATTATTCAAATTGACAGATTCCTGCCTGGCTGGTGTGGCTCAGTAAATGAGAGTCAACCTGTAAACTAGGTCACAGTTCAATTCCTGGTCAGGGCACGTGCCTGGGTTGTGGGCTCAATCAATGATTCTCTCTTTCTTCACTGATACTTCTCTCTCTCTCTCCCTTCCTCTCTGTAACCAATAAAAAATGTATATTTTTAAAAACTCATTGAACTTAACATGAGTTTATTTTAGGGGGAGAAATGACAAATTCTAAATAAAGGAATTTTGGAATACATTTATTATCTTATTAATAGTATACTAATTTTCACATTTTGTGCTTTTTAAAAAAATATGTTTTTATTGGTTTCAGAGAAGAAGGGAGAGGAGGAGAGATAGGAACATCAGTGATAAGAGAGAATCATTGATTGGCTACTTCCTGCACACCCCACACTGGGGATCAAGCCTACAACCTGCGCATATGCCCTGTCCGGGAATCGAACTATGACCTCCTGGTTCATAGGTCTATGCTCAACCACTGAGCCATGCCAGCTGGGCTGTTTGTGCTTTTTAAGCTGAATTTTACATTGTCTTAATGTTGAAAACCAAATCTCTCTACATGACAAATCTTTACTAAATGTTGTAGATATTTCAACTGTCTTCATCATATGCTTTCTGCCGACTGTCAGGTCCCTTTGCTTCAGCCTGATATCTTCTGTTTCCCCACTTAGAAATTCCATCAAATGCATCAAAACTATATCCCTAAACTTAAGTGTATACAGGATAGGGAATGGAATTCCTGCATTATCGTATATTTTTCTATTCACTGATATTAGCTATGAATTAAGAAGCTATGAGGAGACTTTAATTGAGGGGAAAGTAAAAGGATTGTTTATAGTGTTCCTATATTCCATCCAGATTTTTATATTTTGTAATTTTTTTTAAGTATATTTCTTTATTGATTTCAGAGAGGGAGGAAAAGGGAGAGAAGGAGCGAAACATCAGTGATGAGAAAGAATCATTGATCAGCTACCTCCTGTACGCTCCCTACTGAGGATCGAGCCTGCAACCCAGGCATGTGCCCTTGGTCAGAATCGAAACCAGGACCCTTCAGTCCATAGGTTGACGTTCTATCCACTGAGCCAAACTGGCTAGGGCCAGATTTTTAATTAAAAGATGTATCATCAATTAAACTCATCCCCACAAGCTAGAAAAAAATTGTTCCTTTTTTTAAATTTTTTTTATTTGATGTATCTGTTCCACTCTGCACAGCTAGCTCTTCTTGATAGCCTGCTGGTTCTAACTTTTTGTTTCCCTTGTTTAAGTAGGCAAGTATTCATGTTTCCTTGTTGATTTAAAGCTCATAGTTTCCCTCTTTGTCTCACTAGCTCTCCTAATTCTGTTTCAGGGAAAAACAATGAAATTTCTCCTATTTGGTTCTCTAGAGAAGCTTAAGTGTGATTCAAGGGTATTTTGACAAATTCTGTTAATGTATAATTAAAAAAATAATAGATAGATAGTAGCTCACCCTCCCTCTCCAGAGGGAGCGTGCCTGCACTTTTCCCTTCCCCCTCTTACACAGGCGGGTAAGCTTTGCCTGTCTCTCTCAAAAACTTTATTAAAGTATAATGAATATACAATAAACTATACCTAGTTAAAGTATTTTATTAGATGATTTCTTAATATATGTATATACCCTGAAACCATCTCCACAATCAAGATAGTGAATATCTATATCACCCCAAAAGTTTTTTCATGCTTTTATGTAATCTATCTTCCACCTGTCTTAAGGCATTCCTAGGCAACCACCGATTGACTTTCTGTCACTATAGATTAGTATTCATGTTCCCTTGTTGATTTAGTGCACTGAAGATTAGTGCACTTGTTCTAGAATTTTATATAGTCATAAATAGTATTGCTCTTTTTTGGTCTGGCTTCATTCAGCATAAGATTTTTGACGTTAATTTGTTTTATAGTGTGTATTTCGTTTATTCCTTGTTACTGTTGGGTAATATGCCATTTGTGTGTGTGTGTGTGTGTGTGTGTGTGTGTGTGTGTGTGTGTAAAATGATTTATCATTTATCTGTTCATGGATATTTGAAATGGAATATCCCTTTTTAAAAAAAATGTTACTGCTTTCTGAGAGGAAGGATTGAGTCTACAACCTGGCCCTTTGCCCTGACCAGAATCGAACCTTGACCGCTTGGTTCATAGATCCATAACTCAACCACTGACCCACACTGGCTGGCTGGAATATATTTTTTATAATAAATTAAAACCACAGGAAATTTTTATTTTCTTTGTTTGACTAACTTTTCCCAGCAACTTACATGCCAAGAAAGGTAGACAAAAGAGCTACTTGAAAAAGTTTGCTTTGCCCAAAGTTGACTGTCAGTGACGTATCTCACTCTCCCTTGTCTTTGACAGGCTTTGGTGTTAAGATGTTCAGTACTGCCAACATGAAAAGCAATCAGTACATTCCCATGCATAGCAAACAGATCCGAGGACTGGCTTTTGGCAATCAGTCCAAAGGCTTACTTCTCTCTGCTTCCCTAGATAACACTGTTAAACTGACCAGGTGAGTGCTTTGGGGAGGAAGATAGGACCTGGGCTGTTGAATGTTGAGTAGCATGGAAATTAATATTTGTGTTATGGTGACCTTAGCTTAGGGTTTTTGTTTTTATTTTGGTCTAAAGCATTGTCTTCTGAGACCTAGGTTTATTTAATTCAAACTGTATTGCTTTTAAAAGTGGACACAGCATGTAAAAAACAATATATGTAATGTTCCATTTCTTTAAAATTATGTTACAAAATACATCTTAAGCCATGAAGATAAGAATAACATCCTTGAGATGATGAAATGACAATATGGAGGCTGCCTTAATACCTGACACCATTGAGTTATCCTATCAGCTTAAGACTGCTTATTGCTGGATCATTTTACCTAACAGGAATACTGGGAGCTCACCTCCTTGGGTGCCATGGTGACTTCTCTAATCGGTAACCCTCAGTTACTGCATTTTACTTCTTTTATTTCAGAGAAGAAGGAAGTGGGTGAGAGATAGAAATATCAATGATGAGAATCATTAATCAGCTGCCTGCTGCACACCCCCTACTGGGGATTGAGCCCACAACCTTGGCATGAGCCCTGACTGGGAATTGAACTGTGACCTCCTGGTTCATGGTTCATGGATCAATGCTCAACCACTGAGCAACACAGGCCAGGCTCAGTTACTGCATTTTATCTTTTACATGCTTTGTGAGTGCTGTAAACCAAATCTGAGCATGATCTGTGCCTTTATCTTTTAGAAATTAGTTCTGATTAGATATCTGATAGTTGGCTTCCTGTTTAATTTCTGCACCTAAATCTGAGGAACATCGTGATAGTGCTTTTCAAAAATGCTTCTGATTAATCTTGCCCCAAAACTCAATGTATTATGTTTTGCATATGTATGTGCTGTGGGTTTTTTTTCTAGTGTTATAAAATTAGGATGGGGAGGGGTTAAATACCAAACTGTTATTAAATGACTCTCTCTAGATCAGCGGTTCTCAACCTGTGGGTCACGACCCCTTTGGGGGTCAAATGACCCTTTCACAGGGGTCACCTAAAACCATCAGAAAACACATATGTAATTACATATTGTTTTTGTGATTAATCACTATGCTTTAATTATGTTCAATTTGTAACAATTAAAATACATCCTGCATATCAGATACTTACATTACAATTCATAACAGTAGCAAAATTACAGTTAGGAAGTAACAACGAAAATAATTTTATGGTTGGGGGTCACCACAACATGAGGAACTGTATTAAAGGGTCGCGGCATTAGTAAGGTTGAGAACCACTGCTCTAGCTGATATTTTCAACATGGAATATGATCACCTGTGTAATAAATAGGTAACTCTGGAGAAGGTAACGGAAATAAGGTGTAAATGTACTTTGTCTATGTCCCTTTAATTTACTCTTCGTTACAGCTCAAGAGGAACACTGTGTCCCCCACCCCCCCCCAAAAATATTTTGGAAGTAGGAGTTATCTGGGCATTCCTTAGAGGAAATTGCAAATTCAAATAGTCTTAAATGTTTAGCATTGAGATGATGATCTTTACATCTTAGTTACATTTTTTATTTTTTTTAATGCATAATTGTAAGAGTCTCTCATAACTTCACAGCCTGGAGACAAATACGGTGGTCCAGACTTATAATGCTGGACGTGCTGTCTGGAGCTGCTGCTGGTGTCTTGATGAAAACAATTACATCTACGCTGGACTGGTCAATGGTTCAGTTCTGGTATATGACCTTCGAAACACGAGTTGTTATGTCCAGGAATTAGTACCTCAAAAAGCCAGGTAGGGAGCCATTCACTTTTTTCCAGTGGGTAGCTTCTTTCTCTTGGACAGTTTTTGTATTAATTCTCCCTTTCCAAGAGTGTTTCACAGTTGATCACAATTCCTCACATAGGGCAGTTCTCTCTGAGTCCACTGATTTATTCTCACTTAAATATCAGTAAGATCCTTAAAGTTTGTATTCATGATATTTCACATGGTAGAAAGGTCTGGTGCCAAGAATAACCAGCTTCATAGAATTACTCATTTTCCAACATGGCTAAATGAAGTCAGTTCTATGTTCAACACCCAGGTCCACTACATATGAGTGATCTCATTTAGCCTGTTGTGTTCATCTATAAATTATGGTTAGCAAACACTTGCGTTTATAGCCACATGTCTAACACAGGAAGAAAACAGTAAAAGGTAGCTCAATAAAAAGTGATTTAAAACTTCCCTAATGCACAATTAAACCAACTTGTTCTAAGGATACCATATTACTTGTAATTTTTAATCCAGTTACAGAGTTGGGAGGTTTGTGAGGTCAGCTCAAGTTCTGAGGGTCGGTGGCCATCAGCATCACTGTGGTTTTTCAGAATGTGTTGAGTACCATTTGGGCAGAATACTCCTGGACACAAAGTTTTCAAACAGATAGTGGGGTTTATGACCTGGGCCAAAATGAGAAGTGTCTTAAGAAAGAATTTCCATTTCCAATTTGAATATATATTAAAAGAGGGCAATAGGATTTAAATATAAAGATAGCACTACAATAATTATTATTTACTGAAACCGAGGTACAACACTTTGGGGTTTTCTTTTTATTTGGATGGGGTAGAATCATGCTTCAGTGGTGTAGTCTGTGAGCCTGAAGATGATTGATGTAAACTTAGACAATTGTCAACCCCAGGCAAACAAGGTAACTGCCATTGATGTAGAGGACTACATAGAGTAGACAATAAAATACAGCAAATGGCAAGGAAATAATATTTGTAAATATTGTTTATTTCTGTTTGAGTTTGCTTTGGTTAGCTTCATTGTAACAGGGAAATGAAACAAGGCAGGCAAAGTGATCGTTTTGGCAACTTGAACAGAAACAAGTTCATAAAAACAATCTATAGGCTTATATTTCTGAGAGAATTCTTGACATAGTCCTGGATATATGCTTGCAAAAAGAGATTTAGAAAATCTATAAAGAAATAATTGTTTGAATTGACATTAGTTGCTTTAAGCTATATTTTAATTGAGAGGTCTGTCAGCTACAGCTTAGAAGCTTTATTTTAGTTAGATGTATGAGCTGTGTTTCTTTTCTAACTTTATGTATGAGGCTAACTCTCTTTTCTTGTAATTGTGATCTTGTACTATTTAATTTCTTTGTCCATTTGTCTTCATTGCATTTAGAGCATGTGGTGTCTCTTCTGAAATTGGATATAGACTATTGTATGGATGGCCTTTTATTTCTACGGAGTGGGTTGGTCATTTTTATCAGATGTCAGAGGATAGTGACTCAGATGATTTTTATCCTATTTTATAGAGGTAGAAATGTGCTCAAGGAAGGGCTCCTGATAGTAGGGTCTGGAATAGTCCAAGTATTAGAATGTGAGGCATGGCTTCCTTTTTTTCCCTTCAGATGCCCACTGGTGTCCCTGTCATACATACCCAGAGCTGCCTCGGCTGTATTTCCATATGGTGGAGTGTTGGCTGGAACCTTGGAGAATGCTACCTTCTGGGAGCGAAAAACGGGCTCTTCTCATCAGCCTCACGTGCTGCCCATAGAGCCAGGGGGCTGCATAGACTTTCAGACAGAAAGCAGCACCCGACACTGTCTTGTGACCTACAGGCCTGGTGAGTTTTATGTCTTCTGCCTGCTCCTCACTTCATTTAAGAGAAAGGCCCCAGTGAAGGCAGCCATGTAGGGCCTTAGCTGTTACTTATTTGGGACCAACAAAGTTAAATGGAAAATAGACGAACACCCATGGCTGGTCTGGCTCAGTGGATAGAGCATTGGCCTGTGGACTGAAGGGTCCCGGGTTTGATTCTGGCCAAGGGCACATGCCTGGGTTGCGGGCTCGATCCCCAGTGGGGGGTGTGCAGGAGGTAGTCAATCAATGATTCTCTCATCATTGATGTTTGTATCTCTCTCTCTCTTCCTTCCTCTCTGTAATCAATAAAAATATATTTAAAAAAAGAAAAAAAAGGAAAGAAAATAGACAGCTGTAGCTGGTTTGGCTCACTGGATAGAGCGTAGGACTACAGACTGAAGGGTCCCAGGTTCGATTCCGGTCAAGGGCATGTACCTTGGTTGCGGGCACATCCCCAGTAGGTGGTGTGCAGGAGGCAGCTGATCGATCCTTCTCTCTCATCGATGTTTCTAACTCTCTCTCTATCCCTCTCCCTTCCTCTCTGTAAAAAATCAATAAAATATATTAAAAAAAAAAAAAAGAAAGAAAATAGACGAACAGCCATTGTTGTCTGGGCCTAGCTAACTCAACTCACTGCCTCCAGAACCAAGTTGGAACCCCTGACAACCAACTCTACTTAAATTCATAGGTTCTTTTTAGCCTGAAAAGTATGAATCTACATTTTGATGAGCTATACTGATGGTTAGGCAGATGTTTCATCAGGTATAGTCATTAAGGTGCTATACTTCTGCTATTAGTGGCTATGTAGTCATTTACAATTTTGTTGGAGCTGTAGAATTGCTTCAGCAGAGTCTTCTGGCCCTTTTTGTTCTTAGTCATCCCATAGGTCTCTGTCTCCAAGAAAACTTGGGGGCTCTATTTTGTTCTCTAGTTTTCATTTACCTCCCAGCAGAACCGTAGATATATGTTTCCCCTTCTATAATAACACATTTATAAAAATGTACAGTTCTGGGGCTAATAGAGTCCTCACTGGGGAAAGGGAAGAAAAATGTAGTCAGAACTGTTAAGGAAGATAAAAACCCAAGCCGAGGTCTGCAGGTGACAGTGATAGTACTAAAAAGGATAGATAGTCCATTCTCAAATTGTTTCCCTCATAGGCAAAACCTATGTAGTTAACCTGCTTCATCCTAGGCTAGGGTTCCGAATTTCATTTGTGCTGTATTATTTTTGTTGTTACTATGTGTTTGTTTTTTAACAGACTATTTCTGTATGTGTGTGTCTGTGTTGTTTTGTTGGTTTTTGTTGTTAATCCTCACCAGAAGATTTTTTTTCCCCATTGATTTTTAGAGAGAGTGGAAGGGAGGGGGAGAGACAGAGGGAGAGAAATATCAATGTGAGAGTGACACATCAATTGGTTGCCTCCTGCACATGCCCCGACCAGGGCCAGTGATCAAACCTGCAACCGAGGTAAGTGCCCTTGACCAGAATGCAGCCCTTCAGTCCAGAGCGCTAGTCGCTGATAAACCCACCTAGAGCTTATTGTTATGTTTGCTTTGTTAGCTATGCTTGATAGTTTAATAAATTGAGGCCTTTCCACTCAACTAGGTTGTAAGTGTCTGAGGTGCTTCGTTAATTTATTTGGACCATCTTCATGGAGCAATACACTTTTCTATCCCATAGATAAAAATCACAACACTTTACGGAGTGTTCTGATGGAGATGTCCTACAAGCTGGATGACGCTGGAGAGCCAGTCTGCTCCTGCTATCCTGTACAGACATTCCTTGGGGGGCGCACTTGCAAACTACTGACCAAAAATGCTCTTTTCCAAAACCCAGAGAAGAGTGGCAGCATCCTGGTGTGTATTGGGGATGAAGCATCATATTCTGCCCTGGTGAGTCTTTTATATTTTTATAGAGAAATGTATAAAGCAAAAAGCCAAAGTTCTCCTTCATGATTATATACATCTGCATATGTGTGAGTGAGTATGTATGTTTGCTTAGTTTATATTTCTTGTAAGTCACACTTTACTACTGCTTTCTGTGGTTTGCTCTTTTTAACTTCCTGTCTTGGCTCTTTTCATTTCAGTATCTGTAGACTCACTTCATTCTTTTTACATAAGCTAAAGTGTTCCTTGGGCCGTACTTTGAATCTAAATTAAAAAAAAAACAACACTGCTGAAACCCTTATAAAATAATGATTCAGGCATCAACTATATCAATAGATGAAAGGTTAGTGGGAAATTTCATAATCGGGGGAGGGGTCGGCCTGTTACCACCTGAACATATCGATCAACCTTAGGTGGGTGAGCTTACCAGATAATGTCCCTCTTGATGTAAAGCAATATGAAGCAGAAGGTGCCTTATGTGAGATGTTTTTGAACTTGAATCCAAGCCTTACCTAAGAATTTAAGGGATAAAAGGACATGAAATCAGAAAAAAAAAAAATAGGATCGATGAAGCAGATATAGTAAAAGCTTAATCAGCTGTGTAATGGTTTTTAATACTTTAAATATTTTATTTCACAATAAAAAGTATTTAAAAGAAAAAGAAAGCGTCAGTTAGAAGATGATAGGTTCCATGAAGACAGGAACAAGGATTTTGTCATATTGTTCCTATATTCCTAAAAGACTTCCAGCACATAGATTCAAGGGATGAATGCTAGCAAGGCTAATTGCGGATTATAGTAGGTGATCATACTGCATCATGTCAGGTGTGCTGATTTTATGCATCCTGATGAGGGGTAGGGGATTTGCTACCCAGGCAGTGCTCTCTTTGCATCTCTTTCAAAGTGGATGAGAATGAGTCCCCCCGCTTAATTGAATGAGTTTTTACCTTTTATCTTTTTTTGTCTTCTATAGGTATGGGATGCTAGCAGCGGCTCCTTGCTGCAGGGTCTGCCGACTGATCAGCCTGTCTTGGACATCTGTCCATTTGAGGTGAACCATAGCAGCCACGTGGCTACCTTAACAGAGAAGATGGTTCAAATCTATAAGTGGGAGTGACCATGGTCTTGAAACTTACATTGCATTGCCACTGGTTAATGTTCAATGTTGTTTGCTAGCATCTACTAGCCTTGAGCAAGATCCCTCCTTATTGTCTGGCCTAGAATTTTTGGGAACATGATTCCTTTGGTTTAGTATGATTGTAAGACTCCAGTTACTAAAACTACAGATTGTGTATTATGTCCATCAAAAGAGTAAGTGACTGTTATTGTCTACATTGTCCATTTCTTGGGTTAAAAGCCTTCATGAATCTTTGTGGAGAATCGATACTTTCATTCAAACTGTTTGTTGGACCGCAGAGAGTATCTTCCCAGCAGTCATTTAGGATATGATTGTGCACCAGCCATGTTCTAGGCCCTGTTTGAGTGGTCTTGTCACATGGGCTATTTGGTTTGGGAATGCTTATGTCCCTAAAGGGACACTAACCATTGTATGCAAGTGGATGCAGAATTTTTCAGTTGAACACAAGAGGGCATTATAGAACCTTGTGTAGGATTTTATCTATTTCTGACCTTGTGGGCTGACATTTTAGTAACTCAGTCTCATCCCCATAGAAGCGTGTGGTAGAGCACATCTGGTCTACTTTGTGGCAGCTACGGTTATATTCCAGTTGTGCAGTTGCTAGAATATGAGCAAGCTCTATGATGGAGGCAGCTGTAATGAGCTATTGACAACTTTCCTAATGCTGAAGGCATTCAGTTCATTGCATTGTGAGAGCCACGGAAAGAGGCCAGTTGTTGGAGCAGTGGGACGACATTTTTGTAGCCAGCCTAAGATCTCAGGGAGAGTTTTATACAAACCAGTGCTTTGAAGACCATTCCTTTTCCCTCTCATTAGGAAAAGATGAGCAAGCAATATGTTAAAGCTCTTGAATCTCTTAGTATCATATTAGGAGTAATGGGCTAATTTTGCAAAAGAGACTGACAAAAGAGAAGCTGCTCAGACTGCTGCTGAAAATAGGAGAAGGGCCTGTCACTTTCAGTTCTGAAAGTTCCCATCTGAATAAAGCCACCCCTTCGGAGTGAGAGGCTATTCTTGAGCATGTTTAGAATTCCCATGTAAAGCCTTCCCCATGTGAAAATGATGTCTGATTCCAGGTTTCATTCATATATATATATATGTATGTGTATATATATGTATGTATGTATATATATATATTTATATAACATTTTTATTGACTTTTAGAGAGAGAGAGGAAAGGAGAGGGAGAGAGAGAAACATCTGTGTAAAAGTGAAACATTGATCAGCTGCCTCCCGCAGGCCCCCATTCTGGGGATCGAGCCACACCCTGGCTGTGTGTCATGACCAGCAGTGGAACCTGCAATTCTTCTGTGCACAGGATGACACCCAACCAACTGAGCCACACTGGCCAGGGCCCAAGTTTCTTTGATTTGCCTCCCTTCCTAAACTTTTCTAAGTGTTTGGGGAAATGGTTATTCATTTTAACTCTGGATTGTCCACATTTGAGTCCTGCACTTTTCTCCAGTAGAGGGCTCAGGAGTGTGATTTTTCTTAATAACGTTCCTACAACAATTATTTTATTTTTTTTTAATTAATTATTTTATTTTTACTTCAAAATAGTTCTGACCTGTCAACTCCTGAGCCATTTCCAGCATTTCTCACCAGCAAGGGGTTATTGCAGATTTCCCCAGGGTTCCAAATTCTACTTGTGCCTTTTAAAAATGGCATCCTCCTATTTATTTAAAAAAAAAAAAAAAAAA